GCATTGCGTTCATCCACCTCTGGCCTGCTGGCTCCCCTTCCTCTGCGGAAGCATAGTTCCCGCTCAGCCCAGTCAAAGCTGTTCGCTGCTCTGGCACCCCAATGGTGGAACAAGCTCCCTCACGACGCCAGGACAGCGGAGTCACTCACCACCTTCCGGAGACATTTGAAACCCCACCTCTTTAAGGAACACCTGGGATAGGATAAAGTAATCCTTCTACCCCCCCCCCCCCCCCAAAAAAAAAAAAAAAAAAAAAAAAAAAGTATAATTGTAAAGTGGTTATCCCACTGGCTATAGGGTGAATGCACCAATTTGTAGTCGCTCTGGATAAGAGCGTCTGCTAAATGACGTAAATGTGCCCTTGAGCAAGGCACTTAACCCTAATTGCTCCTGTAAGTCGCTCTGGATAAGAGCGTCTGCTAAATGACTAAAATGTAAAAATGTAAATGTATTTGCACATAATCTTCTGCACATCTACCACTCCAGTGTTAATACTAAATTGTAATTATTTTTGCACTATGGCCTATTTATTGCCTTACCTCCATAACTTACTACATTTGCACACACTGTATATAGTTTTTCTATTGTGTTATTGACTTTATGTTTTGTTTATCCCATATGTAACTCTGTGTTGTTGTTGTTTTTAATCACACTGCTTTGCTTTATCTTATAATAATAATAATAATATGCCATTTAGCAGACGCTTTTATCTTGGCCAGGTCGTAGTTGTAAATGAGAACTTGTTCTCAACTGGCCTACCTGGTTAAATAAAGGTGAAATAAAAAACCTCGACTAACGAAAAACCTGTGCCTCCGCACATTGACTCTGTACCGGTGTACCCTGTATATAGCCTTGCTAATGTTATTTTACTGCTGCTCTTTAATTATTTCCTATTTTTCTATTTTTCTTCCATTTTTATTTTTACTCATCTATTCTTTACTTAACACTTATTTTTCTTAAAACTGCATTGTTGGCTAAGGGCTTGTAAGTAAGCATTTCAATGTAAGGTCTACACCTGTTGTATTCGGCGCATGTGACAAATAACATTTTATTTTATTTTATTTGTGAAGTTGTGGAAGTTTTTTGTGATAGTGATGTGATGTAGGAATGTGAAAGTGTCTGAAAAATGTAGTAAGGATATGCCCTTTCTTGTGGAGACAACTGGTTTGGTTAATTATATATATATTTTTAAAACATTTGTTTTTACAGCTTTTTCTTTTTTTGTTACATTTTACATACATGGCGGTTTTTTTCACAGTAGTTACATAGCAAGAATATAGTTATTTGATATACATTACATCTGGATATATAGTACTTCAACTTGGGGGAAAACGCCCACCCTTAAGGGAAGAGTCTATTTTTGGACAGAAAAAAGCAAAGTTTGGTAAGATTTACAGTGCATTCGGAAAGTATTCAGACCCCTTGATTATTTCCACATTTTGTTACGTTACAGCCTAATTCTAAAATTGATTAAATTACTTTTTTTCCTCATCAATCTAAACACAATACCCCATAATGACAAAGCGTCATTATGGGGTATTTAAATAACTATTCAGACCCTTTGCTATGAGACTCGAAAAATTTAGCTCTGGTGCATCCTATTTCCATTGATTATCCTTGATATGTTTCTACAACTTGATTGGAGTCCACCTGTGGTAAATTCAATTGATTGGTCATGATTTGGAAAGGCACACACCTGTCGATATAAGGTCCTACAGTTGACAGTGCATGTCAGAGCAAAAACCAAGCCATGAGGTCGAAGGAATTGTCCGTAGAGCTCCGAGACAGGATTGTGTCGAGGCACAGATCTGGGGAAAGGTGCCAAAAAATGTCTGCAGCATTGAAGGTCCCCAAGAACACAGTGGCCTCTATCATTCTTAAATGGAAGAAGTTTGGAAAGATGAGCGGAGCAAAGTACAGAGAGATCTTTGATGAAAACCTGCTCCAGAGCGCTCAGGACCTCAGACTGGGGCGAAGGTTCACCTTCAAACAAGACAACGCAGGAGTGGCTTCGGGAAAAGTATCTGAATGTCCTTGAGTGCCCAGCCAGAGCCCGGACTGGAACCCGATCGAACATCTCTGGAGAGACCTGAAAATAGCTGTGCAGCGACGCTCCCCATCCAACCTGACAGAGCTTGAGAGGATCTGCAGAGAAGAATGGGAGAAACTCCCCAAATACAGGTGTGCCAAGCTTGTAGTGTCATACCCAAGAAGACTCAAGGCTGTAATTGCTGCCAAAGGTGCTTCAACAAAGTACTGAGTAAAGGGTCTGAATACTTATGTAAATGTAAGGTTTCAGTTTTTTATTTGTAATACATTTGCAAAAAAATTATAAAAACCTGTTTTTGCTTTGACATTATGGGGTATTGTGGTAGATTGATGAGGGGGGGAAAACAGTTTAATCCATTTTAGAATAAGGCTGTAACGTAACTAAATGTGGAAAAAGTCAAGTACTTTCCAAATGCACTGTACATAGGGGCAATACCAGAATAAGTTATCTAAATCTCTTAGCAGCTAAATTTGCATAGCTGAGATGGTTGTATGCCCCATATACATACACTACATGACCAAAGGTATGTGGACACCTGCTCGTCTAACATCTCATTCCAAAATCATGGGCATTAATATGGAGTTGGTCCCTCCTTTGCTGCTATAACAGCCTCCACTCTTCTGGGAAGGCTTTCCACTAGATGTTGGAACGTTGCTGCGGGGACTTGCTTCCATTCAGCCACAAGAGCATTAGTGAGGCCGGGTACTGAAGTTGGGCGATTAGGCCTGGCTCGCAGTCGCCGTTGCAATTCATCCCAAATGTGTTCGATAAGGTTGAGGTCAGGGCTCTGTACAGGCCAGTCAAGTTTTTCCACACCGATTTTGACAAATCATTTCTGTATGGACCTTGCTTTGTGCACGGGGCAATTATCATGCTGAAACAGGAAAGGGCCTTCCCCAAACTGTTGCCACAAAGTTGGAAGAACAGAATTGTCGAGAATGTTATTGTATGCTGTAGCGTTAAGATTTCCCTTCACTGGAACTAAGGGTAGGCCTGAACCATGAAAAACGGCCCCAGACCATTATTACTCCTCCACCAAACTTTAGAGTTGGCACTATGCATTGGTGCAGGTAGCGTTCTCCTGGCATCTGCCAAACCCAGATTCTACCGTTGGACTGCGAGATGGTGAAGCATTATTCATCACTCTAGAGAACGCGTTTTCACTGCTTAGTGTCCAATGGCGGCGAGCTTTACACCACTCCAGCCAACGCTTGGCATTGCGTATCTTAGGCTTGTGTGCGGCTGCTCGGCCATGGAAACCCATTTCATGAAGCTCCTGACGAACACTTCTTGTGCTGATGTTGCTTCCAGAGGCAGTTTGGAACTCGGTAGTGAGTGTTGCAACCAAGGACAGACGATTTTTACACGTTATGTGCTTCAGCACTCGGCTGTCCTTTTCTGTGAGCTTGTGTGGCCTACCACTTCGTGGCTGAGCCATTGTTGCTCCTAGATGTTTCCACTTCACAATAACAGCACTTACAGTTGACCGGGTCAGCTCTAGCAGGGCAGAAGTTTGACAAACTGACTTGTTGGAAAGGTGGCATCCTATGATGGTGCCATGTTGAAAGTCAATGAGCTCTTCAGTAAGGCCATTCTACTGCCAATGTTTATCTATGGAGATTACATGGCTGTGTGCTCGATTTTATACACCTGTCAGCAACGGGTGTGGCTGAAATAGCCAAATCCACTAATTTGAAGGGTTGTCCACATACCTTTTTATTTAAAGTGTAACATTCTGTTGGTGGCAATAATTTTGTATAATTATTTAAATTGAAAAACTAAGTTCTGAATCAAGTGTTGTTTTGCGTATTGGCAGCCGATACATTCGCAACACCTGTTGAATATGACCGTGCAGCAGCACAGCTACAGTCACACAGTTTTTATTTAACTAGGCAAGTCAATTAAGAACAATTTCGTATTTACAATGACAGCCAACCAAGAGGCAAAAGGTCTCCTGCGGGGACAGGGGCTGGGATTAATTTTAGAGCCAGTTAGGCGAAAAATCTGTCATTGCCCTCCTATAATCGCTCTGGGTCAATGACGTAGGCCTGAATGTAAATTCATAAACCATGAAACTGGTAGGCTATATCTTTCTATTTATGACGAATTATTTTCATTTATTTTTACCCAATTTTGGTCTTTAATAAAGGGCAGACAAACATTCCCTAACTTCTCCCCCTTCCACTTGCCTCCTCCATTTTTGCAGTAGCCTAATGCGCAATCAGTTGGTTGTAATTTTGGATAGAGCACACATTTCCATATATTTTTGTTAGCTGCACATGTGACATAACTCTACCATTCCTATTAATAATATCATAAACAAAGGTAATTCATTTTTGTACAAAAATAAATGTTTGACTAGTTTGTTACTTTATTTAATTGATGATGATTCCGGGAATTATATCTCTAGCTGCGCGAAGTCTAGGGTAGGAACCCAGAATTGAACACGTCAAACAATTTCCGTTACTATGGAGATAGACGGTAAACAAGAGGCAGACGACAACACACATCTTGTCTAATCCAAGCAAGGTAACCGGCATAAAGAAAAGTTTATCGTTCTCCATAAACTGTTTAATCCTGTAATAGTTGCTACGTACAATATTTATTCATAGAAATTTGCCAATGTGTTATTGTCTGGATTGCGGAAGTATGTCACCTGTTTGGTAGCTAACGTTAACACTGCTAGCTTTGCTAGCTAGCTCTCGTTAGCTCACATGGATGTAGACGTCAAAATTGGGTGCGTTCGTAAATTGCCTCCAGTGTGTCAGAGTGCGCTCTTGGCCGTTCGTAAATTCAGAGCGTTTTCAGATTGTCCGTTCGAGTGCTCTGAAATCGGAGTAGATAGCCAAAATGAATTTACGAACGCACCCATAAACAGTCCACTATATTAGCTATATGAGAAAATGTGATTGTTAGTTATTGATATGCCTAAATACAATTATTTTTCTAGATGGAGGTTTTGCCTAAAGTGGAGTCTGACAAAGAGGTTGCCATTGATGAAGCTGAAGAGGATCGACAGGATGAGGTTAACGAGGACCTGCTTAAACTAGAGGAGACCCTCTGCAACATACAAATAACCCCAACGTGTTCCCAGTGAGGTTACTAGAGGGCATTCACTTTTGTTACACTTTTGTTACACTTTTGGTCATGTTTAACTAGGGCACATGGTTATTGATTCATATGGCTTTCTACAAAAAATTATAAACATACAGGATGTTTACGTTTAATGTAATGATTACTTACACAATGACTTGGAGTGCACTCACATACAGTGGGGAAAAAAGTATTTAGTCAGCCACCAATTGTGCAAGTTCTCCCACTTAAAAAGATGAGAGAGGCCTGTCATTTTCATCATAGGTACACGTCAACTATGACAGACAAAATGAGAAATAAAAATCCAGAAAATCACATTGTAGGATTTTTTATGAATTTATTTGCAAATTATGGTGGAAAATAAGTATTTGGTCAATAACAAAAGTTTCTCAATACTTTGTTATATACCCTTTGTTGGCAATGACACAGGTCAAACGTTTTCTGTAAGTCTTCACAAGGTTTTCACACACTGTTGCTGGTATTTTGGCCCATTCCTCCATGCAGATCTCCTCTAGAGCAGTGATGTTTTGGGGCTGTCGCTGGGTAACACGGACTTTCAACTCCCTCCAAAGATTTTCTATGGGGTTGAGATCTGGAGACTGGCTAGGCCACTCCAGGACCTTGAAATGCTTCTTACGAAGCCACTCCTTCGTTGCCCGGGCGGTGTGTTTGGGATCATTGTCATGCTGAAAGACCCAGCCACGTTTCATCTTCAATGCCCTTGCTGATGGAAGGAGGTTTTCACTCAAAATCTCACGATACATGGCCCCATTCATTCTTTCCTTTACACGGATCAGTTGTCCTGGTCCCTTTGCAGAAAAACAGCCCCAAAGCATGAAGTTTCCACCCCCATGCTTCACAGTAGGTATGGTGTTCTTTGGATGCAACTCAGCATTCTTTGTCCTCCAAACACGATGAGTTGAGTTTTTACCAAAAAGTTATATTTTGGTTTCATCTGACCATATGACATTCTCCCAATCCTCTTCTGGATCATCCAAATGCACTCTAGCAAGCTTCAGACGGGCCTGGACATGTACTGGCTTAAGCAGGGGGACACGTCTGGCAATGCAGGATTTGAGTCCCTGGCGGCGTAGTGTGTTACTGATGGTAAGCTTTGTTACTTTGGTCCCAGCTCTCTGCAGGTCATTCACTAGGTCCCCCCGTGTGGTTCTGGGATTTTTGCTCACCGTTCTTGTGATCATTTTGACCCCACGGGGTGAGATCTTGCGTGGAGCCCCAGATCGAGGGAGATTATCAGTGGTCTTGTATGTCTTCCATTTCCTAATAATTGCTCCCACAGTTGATTTCTTCAAACCAAGCTGCTTACCTATTGCAGATTCAGTCTTCCCAGCCTGGTGCAGGTCTACAATTTTGTTTCTGGTGTCCCTTGACAGCTCTTTGGTCTTGACCAAAGTGGAGTTTGGAGTGTGACTGTTTGAGGTTGTGGACAGGTGTCTTTTATACTGATAACAAGTTCAAACAGGTGCCATTAATACAGGTAACGAGTGGAGGACAGAGGAGCCTCTTAAAGAAGAAGTTACAGGTCTGTGAGAGCCAGAAATCTTGCTTGTTTGTAGGTGACCAAATACTTATTTTCCACCATAATTTGCAAATAAATTCATTAAAAATCCTACAATGTGATTTTCTGGATTTTTTTTTCTCAATTTGTCTGTCATAGTTGACGTGTACCTATGATGAAAATGACAGTCCTCTCTCATCTTTTTAAGTGGGAGAACTTGCACAATTGGTGGCTGACTAAATACTTTTTTTCCCCACTGTACATACATAATTTTATTGTATTCACATACTTACTACATGCTTAGACAGCTGCATCAACACTCATGCTCATATCCAATCCTAACAGGCCAGAACGGGCACAGGAGGTTGACCTGTCCCAATACCCTACCTCTTATAAGGAAAACTCCCCACAGGAAAAGCTGCTGCTTGCCATCGCTGACAACTTCTGCTGCCAGTATGTGCACCTTTACCCTGACCGAAAACCCCTTCTGCTGTGCCCACTCAATGAGTGTGGAGTCCAGGTAAACACCACAGCATTCACAATTACACTCACTTTTGACTTTGTTTTCTCTGTGACATGTTTGTTGTGCACACTGACACCCATACTTTCTATGTTCCTCCGACATCCCCTCTTTGAATGGGCATTTTTGTCACTCTTACCTTTCTAACGGCCAAAATAGAAATTTGTGAGTACAACCTTGAGGCCCACCTTGCTCTCATACCCGGAGCTATACAGCTGGGAGGGATGTGCAAGCTTTGTGTCAGAGTTCTTGTCTTTAGAGCCACTGGATCCCCCCATTGACCCGGTAAGAGAGAGAGACATCTCTTTGTTTGTCCTAAAAATGATATTATAATAATAGAAGATTTGGTGTATTTACTTTTGAATATAAGAGACATAAGGAGTATTGTTCTTCTTTATCTCTAGCCAAGACACCTCTACTCTCCAACCTGGTTGATGCAGACTCAGAGAGGCTCCTGCTTTGATTTCTCTACTCTGCTGTGTAGTCTGTTGCTGGGTGCAGGCTACAACGCCTACTGTGTTAGTGGATACGCTGTGAAGGAAATGTGTAGCCTCAACCAGTCCCTCCAGGAATGTCCCCTACTGGTTACACATGTTAAGGTGAGTGGCCTATAGCAACCTGGCATCACGACCTGTACATTGCCCTCCAGTACCACTGAACCGGTATATCAGCTATAATTTCATGTTCAAATTATGTAATTTCACTTTATGCGTCTCTTATAGCACAGTTGCATCACTCTTGTGGTTTTCCTGTGGGTGGGTGTGTGTGTTTCAGGGAAAGGCTACTGAGCAGAAGCGACAGGTGAAGAAGTACTCGGTGAAACCACCACGGGACCTTCGCAGTGGCTTTGAGCAGCGTCAGGAGGAACGCAGACAGGCTGATGCACAGGCTATCCTCCTGAAGAAACAGCAGGAGGCAGAGAGACTCCAAGAGGTAAGGAGGCAGCTGCAGAAACACTCTGAGAAACAAATTGTCAATGTATTGTCCCTGTTTGAGCACAGGGTATATGTCTGTGACTGTCCCTCTGTTATGTGCCTCAGGAGCGAGAGAGCCTTCCCCCAGATCCCCTGTTGGGCCTGCGGGTCCACTGCTGGGTTCTCATTCTGTCTGGCAACCGGGAGGTTCCAGATAACTTTTTCATTGACCCACTCACAGGGAAGAGTTTATCCACTACCAACAAATGCTTCCTGGGCATAGAGAGCATCTGGAACCATCAGAACTACTGGGTCAACATGCAGGACTGCCGCTTCGGCTGTGCGGTTAGTAATGCCCTTTTGTCTGTGACAATGTGTTTGGACTGTTTGCATGTACTACATGTATTATATCTTGCTCACAGAGGTAGTGACAAGGTGTTTTTGAAGTGTTTTTGAAATTGGGGAATCACTGGATGTTTTTGCAGGAGATGAATTTCGACCTTGGGGATGCGGTGAAGTGGGAGTATCTGCTCTATGGCACAACTGGCCAATCTCTGCTTCTCATCCCTGATATGAAAAAACAGCAGGAGGCAGAGGATGATGAAGAGGTGCATCCCAATCTCACTCTCTCTCACTCAACTCTGCTCTGGTGCCCTTTACCCTTGATTCTGCACACCCTCTATGACATAGACTGTGTGGGAATAAATGGTGAAGTTCATGCATGGGCGTATATTTGTGCTATCATTTACTATGAGCCTGTGTACCTTGTTGTTTTTCTGAAGGAAGAAGTGGAGGAGCCCAAGGTGTTTGAAATGCCTCCATCCTGGGTGAATCAAATCAACATCTCACAACAAGGTAAGTCATTTGTTGCTTTACTCAGCCTCATAATCTTGCATAACTAACTGGACCTTCTGGCCTGGATTAACCAGCCTAACCCAGTGTTATGTCTCCTATCCTTATCAAATGTTACATGCTCCATCTGTCTGGCCTGACTGACCTTTGTGACTTTGTCCAGACATGGAGACACGCTGCCCTGGGGGCATGAAGGTTATCCAGTATCGGAAGGCCAAGCTGGAAAAGTTTGCACCCTACCTCCTCCCGGATGGTCTTGTGACACGTTTGACCACTTACTCGGACCTCGACTGTGAGTTGCATATTATTGACATATTGAGTCATGGTGCTGTGATTGCCTAATATGTGTTACAGTAAAAGTCCTAAATGTAGACTGATAAAGCCAGCACACTGATAAATGATCAGCAATAATGCCTCTCTCTGGTATCAGAACTCTGACTTGAGTCCGTCTCTGATTAATCTATCTCCTAACTCAGACACTGACTCCCGTTTCCCCCTGTCCCCCTCTGGTGTGTTTCTGTAGGTACCCAGTCCAGCACTGTGAAGGAATGGTACCAACACAGGCATGACCACTTAAAGGAACGGGAACTGAAGAAAGCTAGCAATGTCACTATTGAGCATTTCAGACCTGGACGAAGCTACGCTTTAAAATGTAACTGTTAGAAAATTGGACAAAGTGATAAACACTTACTGTAACTTGAACCCAATCTCATAAGTGATACATCACTCTGCCATAGTCATGACATAACAGCTAGTGTCAGTTTATGACAACTGCCTTAACCATGTTACAACTTTTACATCAGATAGTGGATCTAATAAATGTGGACAAAAGTGACAAGAGAGCATAGATGACGAATGTGTGTTTTGCTGTCAAGCCCACAGATATATCACTATGACTCCAGAGACAGAGCGTCAGATGGATTTCTACAGCCATGCCCGAGCAGACGGGCTGGCCAGACGGGTCGAGATGCCCTTTGAGATGACAGAGACCTTCGAGGATCGACCAGACTTCATGTACCACCGTCATGTCATTTTTGGCAAGCGTGTCAAAGTGTTCGGCCCCAGTAATACTGAGGCACCTGACCAGGGGCAACGCCCTTTACAGGTAATACTGCTTACATTACATGATAATAACTGGTTGCACTACCATTCAAACATAACTCAGTTTGGGTAAACTTAACACCACCATTATATGTCATATACATGTCTGTATCACTGGAAAATATATGTCTAAACATTTGACCAGCTTTGATGATATCTCCGATGGTCTATGAGCAGAAGGTGGTGGAGCGGTTCAATCGAGACCGGTCCAAGCCAGCCGGGGAGGACGTAGCAGAGCGTATCTTTCTAGTGTCTGAGGACAGGATCCAAGTGACATACCACCGGGAGGACGACCGGGTTATTCCTGCTTGGAGAAACTTCATAAAGCCCAGAGATTCAGGCGATTCCCAGAACCCACACTCCTTCACCCCTCAAATGGCCTCCACTTTCCAGGTCATACATCACCAGGAAAAATAAACAGTACCTAAACAACAACCGATTCACAGATAATTAATTTACAACTCGCACCACAAGCAATTTGAGATAACATATTCTTCTGTTAATTGGTTTGAAGTGAACTAGGGTGTTTTTCCAATCATCTTTATGTATGTGCTTTCAGGTAGATCCATTTGAGAAGCCCAGTAAGAATCTCTTTCAGTATGAAATGCTAGTCCATATGATGAAGGAGGAGGAAAGCGTTGCTCTCAGAGTCAAGGAGTCTGAAAAAGAGGTATGCATGTGTTGTGTGGGTACTCTGGCATGAATTGAGAAACCTTTTCCAGTATGTCTTAAAATGAGAGAAATTGAAAAGTAATACCCAGTATGTAGTTGGTAATTGAGAGTGCATTTGTATTTTTCCTCAGGTGAGGGCGATACTGGGTGTTAGGGAACAAGAAGAGAGCAGTATTGAGCTTCACATCTCTATCTACAACACAGCGAGAAATGAGAGAGCACGCTGCCACCGAGAGGCACTGGTGAGAATCACACTCTTATCACAAAAGGCTGACTGACCCTCAGTAACCTCCTTAACCTAATTCCACTCTACCTCATGTCCAGGAGCGGACGGCCAAAGAGGAGCGTCTCCGACAGGAGGAGAAGGAGCTGGACTTCTTAGCACCGTTTCTGGCCCAGCTGGGTGACCCAGAGAACCTGACCAGACCGGCTGCTCTACAGCTGAGGAACGACTGCCTGGCTGACCTGAAGCAGCGGCTCATTGATAAGGCCAACCTCATACAGGCTCGTTTTGAGAGGGTACGTCAAAACAGAGGATAAGTGGAATCAAAAGAACAAACAGTTTTGTGAAAATCTGTACAATAATGTTAAAATAAACAAAACAAGCAAAGGTTCAAGGTTTGGGAATACTCATGGTAGAACAATATTGGTAAAATAATGGTTTAATTTTCATGGGCATCTCTATAGTTTGTCATGTTTCTCTATTAATGTATTGTAATGCATACTGTATGTTTAGGAGACCCAGGAGCTTCAACAGAAACAGCAGTGGTACCAGAAGAACCAGCTCACTATGACCAAGGAGGATGAAGATGAATACCTTGCCTACTGCTCTGATGCCATGTTCAGGATCCATATTCTCAAACTGCGTCTGAGCAGGTAAGCACTAAAAAGTTTCAGTGTCAAAGCCTTGATTTATCATCGATATAGTAATTATTTCACATGACTGGGCTTTAATATAGATGTTTACATACTTCCATTGTTATTTTGTGTTTCAGGCATAAGGACAAAGCCCCCCAGAAATACATGGCTCTGGATGAGAGACTGAGACGAGACCCCAGACTGGCCAATCACCTGTGGTGATGAACATGGACACGTACAGCTCCCTAATCACATCCTTCCCCCACCCCATGATCTGACACTCCTCAATTTCTCTGTCTTGATTAGGTATACCACCACTCAAAGCAATAAACTAGTTTTTTATCAGTGATATTCTGGCTCTGAATAATTTTCATCATGACAATTCGTTTGAGCTTGACAAGACTGGATGTTTTTGTTAACTGGATTGAGTTAATTTGCCATGGCTCTATCTTGAACTATTCAATAAAAAATGGTATCCAACAATATCTTCCCACCCACACAGTGAGAAAGCCAACCAAGGTTGTTTTGGTCATGGTTTTGATGTGCAGTTGTGCACATCAGAGAAGTTAACTAAACCTAGCCTCTCCAGCAGGCGGCACTAGTTGGACCACTCTGTGTGCTTTTGTCAGAGCGCTATCGGAGTGAGGAGGTGGTGCCTGCTACCAGCTAGCTTGTTAGCCACAACATAGAGGAAGAGAGAGGCCCAACTCAGCGGAAAATAGAGGACCAACTCAGGTGGCGGTTTTTCGTTGTTTCGCTCACTAAGCAAGGCATTTTTGTATGGAGGTCAATGAGAGTGTCAAATTTCGGTCAACAACAAAAATGTATGGCTTATTTGCTACGTGAAATGTATCTGATCGAATAGAAGTTTCGTAATGGTTAAGTTGTTACGGCTGTACTGATAAAAGTAGGACACGTGACATCCCCGCAACTTTGAGAAAAAACGCTAAATGGGAGATGACAGTGCGGAGAATGTCTCTTTATATCTTGAAGGAATAAGGTTTGTTAATGATGAGCAGCTTATCGAAATACCAATCTTGAAGAATCCATTTGAGCTATCCAAACTGGTGGAGAGAGTGATGGGTAAAGTGAAGGATCTGAGGATCACGAGAGGCAGGTTTGTTTTGATTTTTTTTACTTCTGCGGATCAGAAGGAACGTGTGTGTTGCGCCTCTCGCGATTTGAAAAATTTGACGCGTGTCTCTTCGGAACAGGGCAACCCACAAGGAGGTAATATCTGGCGTCTCGTGGGAAGTTGATGTTAAAAGAGATGAAAAATATTCCTGGAGTGATTGATGCACGTCGGATGAATCGAGTGGTGGATGATGAAAAAGTGAAGAGTTTATCTGTTATTTTGTATTTTGATATGGAGTCCCTACTCAAGTGTCTTGGGGTATATAAAAAGTCAGAACATTTATCCCAAGATCACTGTAAAGCTTTTGGTCATGTGTCAAGGGTTTGCAGAAGGGAGAAACCGAGATGTCCAAGTTGTGGAAAATATAATTGAATGTGTTATAAAAGTGATGAAAAAGTGAACTGTTGCAATTGTGGTGGGAACAATGAAGCCACGTCTTTTGAATGCCCGACAAGGGGGAAAGAAAATGAGGTGGCCAAAGTTAGGGTTGTACAGAGCATTTCCTATGCAGCAGCGGTTAAAAGGGTTGAGGGTTTGAATGGTGCTCCTGAAGAGTCCATGGTGGTGGATAGGCCTTCAATGCAAGTTGCAGGGGTTGCCTTTCACCAAGATGATCCTGACATTTTTAAAGGTTAAAAAGGTGGACTTTGTGGCCTTTATCGCAATGGTGATTAATGGCACTGCCAAGATTTTAGAAAAGATCTAGGAAGATAGAAATCATTGTGGTTGCAGCGGAACGGTTCCTGGGGCTGAAAGATTTCTTGGCAAAAGAGTTACATGGAATATTGTCAAAAGCCCTACCACCATCTCAGGCCCTGGAGACTGAAAAGGGAGATATGGAGATTTAAAAGAAGGAAGAAATGGGAGTTTTGTTTTGTCAATGTACTATTTTATTTGGGTGGATTTAGTTAGTTTCCCTATTATGGCGCAGTGGTCTAAGGCACTGCATCGCAGTGCTAGCTGTGCCACTAGAGATCCTGGTTCGAATCCAGGCTCTGTCGTAGCAGGCCGCGACCGGGAGACCCATGGGGCGGCGCACAATTGGCCCAGCGTTGTCCAGGGTAGGGGAGGGAATGGCCAGCAGGGATGTAGCTCAGTTGGTAGAGCATGGCGTTTGCAACGCCAGGGTTGTGGGTTCGATTCCCACGGGGGGCCAGTATGAAAAAAAAAAAATGTATGCGCTCACTAACTGTAAGTCGCTCTGGATAAGAGCGTCTGCTAAATTACTAAAATGTAAATGTAATGTATGGTTTTCTTTTGTTACATGGAATATTGGCAAAAGCCATATCACTCTCTCAGGTCCTAGAGCATGAGAAGGGAGATATGGAGAACTAAAATAAGGAAGAAATGGGAGTTTTGTTTGTTTTGGCAATGTATTATTTTTATTTGGGTGGAGTAAGTTAGTATCACTATTAAGTATGGATTTATTTTTTATTTTATAGTTTCTAACCGTCCAGTTGGTGGCGGCAATACAACTTTTGGATGTAGTCCGCCATTAAAACCATAGAAGCTACTCTCGTCCTCTGCAGTTTCTGTCTTGAGGCGGTCAACAATGGTACAACTAGTGGGGTCTCTCCGAAAAGAGCTCGCTGACTCCTTATCCGTTTGCCGGGTGCTGGTGGTTGGAGCTGGAGGAATTGGCTGTGAGCTCTTGAAAAACATTGTTCTCACCGGCTTCAAAAATATAGAAGTGGTAAGTCGTGCAGGGGACCGACACTTGCCGCTACAGCCAGCCAGGGTGATATGAAAGGCCTAGCTAGCATGCTAGATAAGTTTAGCTAGTCTGAAAATAACACTATTCGAAAATGCCCATATGGCTATATGTAAGTGGTGAAGTTAGCTATTTAAATATAGTCATGAATGAACAGAAAACCACCTAGTTAACGGTTAAGTCACTTCATCCAAATTGTAAATTGCGTGCCATGTTCTGACTTCTTTGTGGTCTGCTAACGTTAGCTAGCCAATGTTAAGGAGTGTATGCTTGAAGGCTAGTTTTCTGTGCTAACAATGCCGGTGACTCTGAGAGATGCTGTTAAGCATTACGGTAAGTAGTTACATGCTATTGATTTTCTGGTTCATTAAGAAAGCTAAAGTTATGTGTTTTTGGTTTAGTTAATTAGACCATGCTGATCTTTCTAGAAAATCTAAAGTTATTACAGATTATTTTGGCAAGTTAGCTGGCCAAGTCATTGCCAGAACATACTGACCCTGCGGTTACGCTTGTTTACACCGAGCTGCAGGGGTCAAAATGCAATCATGGTTACATTACGGGTGCGTTCGTAAATTATCTCCAGTGAGTTGGAGTGCGCTCTAGGTCGTTCGTAAAGTCAGAGCGTTTCGCTCTCGGACAGAGCGCACACTAGACGCTCTGGCCAAAGAGAAGGGTTGATCTGGCAGTCAAGCTAGAAAACTACTTCCAGGCACAAAAGAGAACACCTCACTGACCATTTTATTTGCCCAAGCAGAGATAGGTAGGCAGTTTTCATGTTATCTAGGTTGTTAATGACTAACTGTGCTGCTGGCAACAATTTAAATAAACATTTTTGCAGACGTTTATTGACACTTGTCATTCAATGTATGTTTCGCATTTGTAAATTCATCAGTTATTCTGCACTCTGGCATACTCGGAGTGCTCTGATATCGGAGTAGATAGCCAGAGTGAATTTACTAATGCACACTTTGAGACCGTGGAGCCGGCGCGAGATATGGGTCTGAAAACGTACCTCAAAGCAGGGATAGATGTGGTCCTCTGTAGCTCAATTGGTGGAGCATGGCGTTCGATCCCCGGGACCATCCATACGTAAAAATGAATGCACACATGACTGTAAGTCGCTTTGGATAAAAGCGTCTGCTAAATGGCATATTATTATTATTATTATAGAATATGCCACTGCACTCCAAATGTTATCTTTATCGACACTGCTCCATCGAGAAGATTGAAGTACTGCTAGTCCTCATACTAGCTAGCAGTAGCCATTATGGAATGGCATGTCGCGTTGAACAACAAATGAGCTGATTGGCTGTCACTGCCATTCCAAAATGCGTAGGGTCAGTGTAAATAAGCTGTAGGGTCGGTATCTTCTGGCAGGGTAAGTCATTGATCTTGCTTTGTAGTATACACCTCAGATGTTTATAATGTGCAATTCTGTTAGGTAGCTATATACTTTGCTGCATGTAGCAAATTCTTTCATACAACATTCACACTTTCGGTGAACCTGTCCTGATGTTAATAAAACATGTTTTGTAGCTATCAATAATTGTGTTTTGGTAACTTACATTTTAGTCATTTAGCAGACGCTCTGGAGCGACTTACAGGAGCAATTAAGGTTAAGTGCCTTGCTCAAGGGCACATAGACAGATCTTTCACCTAGTCGGCTCGGGGATTAGAACCAGCGGTTCGGTTACTGGCACAACGCTCTTAACCACTAAGCTACCTGCCGCCCTTGGATTTGGAATTTCATTTGCTGTATCTGTGTTTATCTTATAGATTGATCTGGACACTATTGATGTGAGCAACCTGAACAGACAGTTCCTGTTCCAGAAGAAACATGTGGGAAAGTCCAAGGCTCAGGTAGGGGACCCATTGTTCTTTCACAAACATGCATCACCGCTTGACCCTTTTGGTCCATTCTCACTTTTGCTGTAGGCTATGTAGCTATACAACCAGAATATTATATGTCAGGGGTAGGCAACTAGATTCAGTCACAGGTTGATTGGGGGGGGGGTTAGCCCGCAGGCTGCCTGTTGCCAACCCCTGCTATATATGAACTTGCGGCTGTCTTGCAGGTGGCCAAAGAGAGTGTGCTGCAATTCTGTCCCACTGCCAATATCACGGCCTACCATGACAGCATCATGAAGTAAGTCAACTAGCTACTGTAGTTATGTGCATGATTGTTCTTTGTGCATATGGTATTTTATTGTGTGTGTTTGTGTCACCGTGAGTTGCTGATGTGAAAACTGATGTCCTTGGTCTGTATGTCCTTCCCAGTCCAGATTACAACGTGGAATTCTTCAGGAACTTCATGCTTGTCATGAATGCCTTGGACAATCGAGGTATAGTGATATCTCATGCCTTCCTAATGAAACCTTCAATACTGATCCCTAGTCAATTTGTCTCTGTGGAGTATATTTGGTATCTTTTCCCAATTATTATGGTCCTTGTCTTACTGCCAGCCAAAGTTCCCTCTAAGCTGCGTGCAGTAGCCCGATACTGCTGTACAGCTCCCAGGGACTGCCACACAGAAGAAATATCAGCCCATGGAGAGAAGCACGAGATTGAACTTCACCAAACTTTCTAGAATTTTCCCTGTTAACTCTATCAACATTTCCCTTTACTGTGGCAATTGTGATCGAATCAATGCAATATTAGCCGCTTTCAATGCAACATACCGAAACAAAATGAGCTATGCAAGAGATTTTGCAAGAGATTTTGTTGTAGGCAGAACGCATCGGAGTAGGATTCTATTGCATTGACACACACGACTCAGCCCGTACTCTACACAGACCGGTGTGGCATAACCAATCAGAGCTGCAGTAGGCCTATATGCAAATAGATCAATGCCATATATGGATCTGTGGCATTTACTTTGATCTGAACTGTTTCCAGCATGAGCGGTCCTGAGTAGATGCGCTTGTTTTGAGATCAAAGCGAGAGCTGCATGTAGCTACGTGTGCACATTTTGTTCATATCCTTTGCCAGTTAGTGAGTTATTAGCCCAGTTATAGATCATTTGTAGTCAGCAAAAAGGGAGTGATTGCTTCCTACAAGAGCTCAAAACATGTACATTTCTAGAGCCTTTTTTTGTCTTAAAGGGGCAGTGTTGTATTTTGAGGCAGGCTTGAATAAGCTAAGTAGCCAATAGGCAGAGGGTAGCATAATTTGTCTGATTTCCTGTAATAATGGTATGGGAATAATAATGCATTTTATTTTGTAAAGTGGTTTCTTGCATCAAACAACACAACACCATTTTCAGGCCCCTCTTGTCTGAAGGGCAAGTGGATGAACAGGTTAATGTCAAGCCCTGCATGTTGTTTAAAAAAAAAAGTAGGCCTACATTGAACACCACACATTAGCTGCTACTGTAGGCTGAATGATAGAACAGCTATTTCCATGTTAAAATGTTATGGGATGCATTTTCTCCATTGTTTATGATGGTAGGCCACTCTGGTATGTCTACATTATGATCAAGTAGCCTACTTTGCCACTGTTAAAACTGTAATTTAAAGCGGTTACAGCCTTGGTGTTAACAGTAAACGTGCGCTGGATGTTGCACAGAATTTTCACAACAGTCAAGTTTGCGCTCAGCAGACCTTAAATTTGCTCAGTGCCAAAAACATTTGAGGGAACATTGCCGCCAGCTGAATCTTTTCTTCCTTGCAGCGGCTCGTAACCATGTGAACCGGATGTGTCTCGCAGCTGACATTCCCCTTATTGAGAGTGGCACAGCTGGCTACCTTGGGCAGGTGACCGTTATTAAGAAGGTAAGACACAATGGATGTGTGTCTCAGATGAGTTTAACAATTTCATTGTGAATCACATATGTGCGTAGTTGTGTCAACCACAACCCGTGAGTAACAATTAGATGAATGGTCATGTTCAGCACCAATCTAACACATAAAACAACAACCTCCCTCTTCTTGCTTTTACACACTACAGGATCTGTGAGGATAATGTTCTATACACTGATCTTTACAGGAAACCTACTGATCGTAACAGTTTGTTGAGGGCTGATAGTTGTCACCCGCTTCCCTAGAAAAACAGTTTGCCTACAGCCAATTCTGTCGAATCAAAATAATTTGCAAAAAACAATCAGATTTCGACAGAAATATGGCTGAGACGCAAAGAAAATTCAAGGAGATGGGGTACAAAAATTGTGAGATTAATATAATATTAATACTGCCATTGAGAAAATTCAAAACGAATTGAGACATGATCTCTTTCAATGACATTCTCGCAAAAATAAGCATTCTTGTGTTCTAACTACACGCTATTCAAAGTGCTCTGAACAAATTAAGGGAATCGTTCACAAACATTGGCACATTCTAAGATCTGATGACAGTATCAGTAATGTGTTTTCGTATTCTCGCGGGGCAGAAATCTCAGATCAATTGGTAAACTCTGATGTACCACCCCAAAATATCCTTGCACAACGTCTATTTGCACCTCTACCGGATGGAAACTACAAGTGTCCTTGTGGTAAAAATGATGTGGGTAAAACAAAGCGCGAATTAAAAGTACAAATCTCGGAGCGTCATAGCACCATTCGGTGCAAAAACTCGACATACCCAGTCGCGGCCCACTATTTGGAAGCGAACCACTCTATTTCGTCCCTACGTTATATCGGCATCAAACATGCCACCCTCCCTAGGAGAGGGGTTGACCTCGACAACTTATTGTTAAAATGAGAGGCTGCCTGGATCTTTAATTTAAAGACCCTTGCTCCCTTCGGTCTCAACGTAGACTTTGATCTGAAGCCATTCTTTTGATTATTGTGATTTTGCTATTTATTGTAAATGTTTGTAGGCCTATGTAGCCAAATTGTATCTATGATCGTATGCTATCCATTCATGTTTTTTGTATGTTCTGTTTATCTGTGAATTAACCAATGATATCAGGCCACACCCGGCCATGATTACAGACAACTGTGTGTGTCCTTTGACATTATATAAACTAGTGACCCGCAGTGTTTGGCATTATACCCTGATGAAGACAGCTTGTCTGTCGAAACGTTGGTTATTCAACTATTGCATCTGAGCTCCTAGAGTGTGCGGCTTTTCTTTTTCAAGGGTTCTACTCCGTTAGCCAGCACCTCGCCTAAATAGGTGTGCGTTTCATTCGCCTACAAAAACAGCACCAATATAACACATAATAACAACAACCTCCCTCTTCTTGCTTTTACACACTACAGGGTCTTACTGAGTGCTATGAGTGCCAGCCCAAACCCACACAGAAAACATTCCCTGGCTGCACCATTCGCAACACCCCATCTGAGCCCATACATTGCATTGTGTGGGCCAAGTACCTCTTCAAGTAAGTCTAGTAAAAGTGCTTTCATCTCTCTAGTAGTAAACAATTGTGAAATAGATCATGAATATTCATTTCACCCAATAGGGAGTTAATGATGGGATTCCTGGCAGAGATCTGTTATTGCTGTCCGGTTGGTTGAGATTACGCCCATGGCATTGACAATCAGTTCTATCTTCATCTCCACCTCAGCCAGCTTTTTGGAGAGGAAGATGCAGATCAAGAGGTGTCCCCTGACACAGCTGACCCAGAGCTTTCATGTAAGTATAACAAAACACTTGAAAATTCTTCAACTGCCACCCTCCCTGGCCTCCATGAACCAGAGGAGTGAGACTGAGTCGTGTGCACTAAAAGGCTGCTGTGTACTCTGGGCTTCATTGGGATAATAATACATGCCATGGGATATTTGTCGCCTATTCTCAGGGAACCCTGCAGACACTGAAGCCCGAGCCAAAGCATCTGACCAGGATGGAGATATCAAACGTGTGTCCACTAAGGACTGGGCACGTTCCACTGGCTACGACCCAGTCAAACTCTTCAACAAGGTAGGCTTAAGGGTGAACAAGTATTTACTAGGGGACTGCTTAATGTGGCCCCATGTCTTGTTGTCAAGCAGCTTATTAGCATCTAAGCTATGGTTATTAAAATGTATAGAAATAGCAAATAGTCCATGACTATATTTGTGTGGTCCTCCAGCTTTTTAAAGATGACATCCGGTACCTCCTGACCATGGACAAGCTGTGGAAGAAGAGGAAAGCCCCACTGCCTCTGGATTGGCTTGAGCTTCAGAAACGTAGTAAGATATTAGCATCCTATATTATATTGCTCCAAGTTGAATTGGACAATTTTCTAATTCAAAGAAATTGAATTAGAAAATCTTCTAATACGATTTGAATTATAAGATTTTCTGCTAAATGGCATATATTATTATATTATTTTCTAGTTAATTGTCTGGTGTTTTTAGTTTGAGGTTTAGGTTTGTGATTCTCGCTCTCTGGTTGTCTGATAGCGTGTCCCCAGGAGGTGACTGGGACGGGATTGAAGGACCAGCAGGTGTTGGGTGTGGCAGGCTACTCCCAGCTCTTCTCCCGCAGCGTGGAAACCCTGCGCTCCATGCTGGCTGACAAAGGGGATGGAGCAGAGCTTGTGTGGGACAAGGTGAGGACACACAGGGGAATGGATTTGGATGGGTAACTGTGCAGGGTCTAAACTGGACCACAATATATTATCAAGGTACAACAGACCGGAGAAGATGATGCTCTCATAGTTTAAGCTTAAAGTTGCATTGATAGTTCTTTGGCAGTCCATTTGATTGTCTTCCTCCTCTTGTTGCTAGGACGACCCTCCAGCGATGGACTTTGTGACAGCAGCCGCCAACCTGCGCATGCATATTTTCAGCATGAACATGAAGAGCCGTTTTGACATCAAGTGTGGGTATTTTGGGTGAAAGCTGTCTGGAGGTTGTAAAGTAAAAAAAATAAAGTTAAATGTTATTTTGACAATTTATTATTAATAAAGATTTTACTTTATTGATTTTTTTATTTTGCTATGTCTGTTTCCAAGTAAGGTGTTTTGATGTGTTTTAAATTGTTCCTTGCAGCCATGGCAGGGAACATCATCCCAGCGATCGCCACGACCAATGCAGTCATTGCTGGCCTCATAGTGCTGGAGGCACTGAAGATTCTTTCAGGAGATGTGGAGCAGTGTCGCACGGTGAGAAATCAGGAGTGATCCTTTCTGTTAAGGGTGGTACTAAACCTTCTAACATTTCGTCCCCTGCACATCAGGGGCCCGTGTAGCTCAGTTGGTAGAGCAATGGCGCTTGCAACGCCAGGGTTGGTATATATATATATATATATATATATATATATATATATATATATATATATATATATATATATATATATATATATATATATATATATATATATATATATATATATATATATCCAACCACATGTGTGCCTTTGTGTGTGCACGTCATGTGAGTCGGGCATGTGAGACTAACTAGAGCTGCATTGATAAACCGAAAATTACAGACCCCGACATTGCCCTCTTACCAAAGCTTATTTTGGTCATTAGGCTACACAACGTTCCTGCAGATTTTTTAGTTTGTTCTAAAACCATTCTTTGGTCAACAGTAATGTGCATTAACCAGCTTCCGTCAATGAAAGTACACTACGTGATCAAAAGTATGTGGACACCTGCTCGTCGAACATCTCATTCCAAAATCATGGGCATTAATATGGAGCTGGCCCCCTTTTTGCTGCTATAACAGCGTCCACTCTTCTGGGAAGGCTTTCCACTAGGTGTTGGAACATTGCTGCAGGGACTTGCTTCCAGTCAGCCACAAGAGCATTAGTGAGGTTGGGCGATTAGTCCTGGCTCGCAGTCGGTGTTCCAATTCATCCCTAAGGTGTTCGATGGGGTTGTGGTCAGGGCTCTGCAGGCCAGTCAAATTCTTCCACACCGATCTCGACAAAACATTTCTGTATGGACCTCGCTTTGTGCATGCGGGCAATTTCATGAAACAGGAAAGGGCCATCCCCCAAACTTTTGCCACAAAGTTGGATGCACAGAATCGTCTAGAATGTCATTGTATGCTGTAGCCTTAAGATTTCCCTTCACTGGAACTAACAGCCCCAGACCATTAGTCCTCCACCAAACTTTACAGTTGGCACTATGAATTGGGGCAGGTAGCATTCTCCTGGCATCCGCCAAACCCAGATTAGTCCGTCGGACTGCCAGATGGTGAAGCGTGATTATCACTCCCAGAGAATGCGTTTCCACTGCTCCAGTGTCCAATTGCGATGAGCTTTGCACCACTCCAGCCGACGCTTGTTACTATTTTTATTATTTTTTAACTCCGCACCATTGGAAAGGGCTTGTAAGCAAGCATTTCACTGTAAATTCTACGCCTGTTGTATTCGGTGCATGTGACATAAATTGATTTGAATTATGTAGCATATAAGCGTGGCCTAGGCCAATATGCCTATGATTATTCTGGATCCTGTTTTGACACGTTGCACATAAATATCCATCATGCATTCCCTGAACATAATATTAATTATCTAACTTCTTTCATGTCTTACTTGGCACTGGAAAAAGTCAGTCTAGAGCTCTCCTCCTTAGCTACCTTGCTTTGAAGTATAGCCATTTGATACCTGATTCACTGAATTAAAGAATTATTTTCTTATACTTTTTGGTTGTAGGCTAATGTTCTAATGTTATAGCATAATACCTCCAAGAGAGCTATTGAGTGTGTAGACTTTTGTTCCAGCCCTGCTCTTAACACCAGATTCTACAAATCAACTGCTCAACAGGACCATGTTAATCTGACTCCTGTGTGTTTGAGCAGTGCTGGATCAAAAGCCTGCACACCCAGTGGCCTAGCTCTCCAGATGGAGAGTTGACCACGTGTTTCATACAGTAACGGTGCTGTATATTTGACTTTAAGGCATTTAATTTTTTTCACAGTGGTATCGTTATGATATTGAGTATCATTATACTAGGCTGGTTTTGGTATCAAAGCGCCGAAATTCTGAACACTTAGTTTGTGATCTAGCTAATGATTAGTCCATTGGGGTAGCCTAAACAAATGCAGATGGGCAACCCAATGCTTCAGCCATCTATAGCCTAGCCACTATGCTACATCAGTAAGCCTACAGAAGAATTCTCATTGCTAAAATGTCACACCTTCCTGATAATATAAGCCATGTAGGCTATAGCCTTTGGTGAAAGAGTCAGCCCTAAAAAATACTACTTTTTGCCAACATGGGCTCATTTCTGGCACGTGTGTGTGGTGCGTGCAGACACCAAATTGGTATTAAATTGCATTCCAAGTGCCATTAAAAAGGTCTTAGTCTTAGATTCAACTTCATTGAACCTGCAGATACCCTGTGGTTGTGAATAATTTAATGGCAACTTATGGCTGTTTTAGTGTATATCTAATGTGCTCTGAAACCTATTCCAATGTCCCTTCCTGTATGGTCTTCCTAGATCTTCCTGAACAAGCAGCCCAACCCCAGGAAAAAGCTGCTGGTTCTGTGTGCTTTGGATCCACCCAGTGCCAACTGTTATGTGTGCGCCAGCAAGCCAGAAGTCACAGTCAAACTGAATGTGCACAAAACTCTTGTGCTGGCCCTTCAAGACAAGGTAATGCATGCCTCTCTGGCTCCTTTTTTGCATGTGCTCATGCTTACAATCAGACTGATAAAGCCAGACAAACGCACAGACTAATACAGACATTGTTGGCCAGTGATGCACACATTTTTGACCAGGGAGGCAGAGCAAGCCAGGTAGATAATGACTAGAGGGTTGCATGTAAATCTAAACAAAACCGATCTTGTTTGTTTTGTTGTTGCTATCACCATGACACAGTGAAATGTGATCAGCATATCCTGTGTTCAGCTAAATATTCTTCTTTCTTTGTGTTAGATATTAAAAGAGAAGTTTGGGATGGTGGCGCCAGATGTGCAGATCGAGGATGGGAAAGGGACAATCCTTATCTCCTCTGAGGAGGGTGAAACTGAAGGTATGAGACAATCACAGAATATTATCAGACTGTCCCAAAGGAGACCAGTAGAGGATGCCAACCTCTTCCCATGGTGACTGCATATTGCACTCAACAGTATTAAGGATGTGCATGTGACAAAACTTTTTTTCTAAATAGCTCTTGTTTGCTGAGCGACTCGGGAGAGCTGCAGAAGGGCAGGGGCCAGTGTATGTGATATGAGAGAGACAGAGAGAGAGCGCGCGAAAGTAGCCATGCTAGATTGACAAACTTGCTGCTATAGATTATCTATCATACCATCTGGTAATGCCTGTCTTGACTGCATCAAATCGATGTAAAGTAGCTAGCTATACTAGCCAACTAAGTTAGCTAGCTAGCAAGGCTAATTGAGGCACTCCTCGTCCTTGCCTACAACCACTACATTCAGATTAAACAACAGCCTACCTGTTGGTTGCTCATTGTTTTCTACTCCTCATTACGGTATCTTGATTCTGTAATTTGAATTCCATTATGCATTGATAAAAAATATCCCACTTCACTTTCAAGGCTACATATGCAGCCTCTGACTGATTGCCCTACAATAATGTATTTTTTATGGGGTGCACGTTAGTGGTGCGTAGGTCAGCTGTTTGTTCACCCGTACCCACCCGCAATCGCTAATAACCTGACTATATGTGAAAATCTGAGGCCCGACCCTAAACTGCAAATATAGAAAATGCGCTGTAGGCTACAGCGGAACGATTTTTTGACGGGGTGCAGGATTTTTAGATATGTTTCTGCTTATAATTTCTGACATTTTGGTAGGCTATTTGTTTGTCAACTTGTCTATAATTAGATTCATTAAACAAAGAGTGTACAAAACATTAGGAACACCTGCTCTTTCCATGACATAGACTGACCAGGTGAATCCAGGCGAACGCTATGATCCCTTATTGATGTCACCTGTTAAATCCACTTCAATCAGTGTAGATTGTTGAGGAAAACTCGTTCCAGGAATCAGGCAGAACTCATTTATTAGCAGTAAGAGTTTATTCAAGCAATTGCAGGGAAGCTTACCCTCAGGATGAAACCGGAGAGAAAAACGTACAAATGTACAAATTACCTAGTAAGTTATAAACTTCACCTACACAAAGAACTGCTTACCCCTCCAAGAGGGAGGCAAGCTTACATGAGATCAGAGATACTTAGCTCTACTCCCTTAGAGCATTAAAACAAACTAAAGCAGGTTCTAACCCATGGGTGGGCAAACCTTTTGGCTCAAGGGCTACATTGAGTTTTTGAAACCAAGTGAAGGGCCACATACTATGCATGACAAAACATGTGAAGCCTTTATTCATTTTCACATTGACACGCAACTACTAGTGTACTGTAGGTGTACATATGCTTGTAGAACCATTCTACCCTTGTACCATCTCTACACTTGTTTTTTGTGAACACATTTCTCACAATTGATATAATTTATAACATCATAAGGAACTATTCTCATCTCCATTGTGAGCCATATTTACAGTTATCCAATCATCTCACCCCAAATCTGACTGATTAGTTATTACCTGTATCCAAGTGCATTGCTGGATAATTCTCACTGCATTTTTATTAGATTTTATTTCACCTTTATTTAACCAGGTAAGCCAGTTGAGAACAAGTTCTCATTTACAACTGCGACCTGGCCAAGATAAAGCAAAGCAGTGCGATTAAAAACAACAACAACACAGAGTTACATACGGAATACACAAAACGTACATTCAATAACACAATAGAAAATCTATATACAGTGTGTGCAAATGTAGTAAGTTATGGAGGTAAGGCAATAAATAGGCCATAGTTCAAAATAATTACAATTATAATTTAGTATTAACACTGGAGTGATAGATGTGCAGAAGATGTGCAAATAGAGATACTGGGGTGCAAATGAACAAAATAAATAACAATGTAAATAACAATATGGGGATGAGGTAGTTGGGTGGGATAATTACAGATGGGCTGTGTACAGGTACAGTGATCGGTAAGCTGCTCTGACAACTGATGCTTAAAGATCGTGAGGGAGATAAGTGTCTCCAGCTTCAGAGATTTTTGCAGTTCGTTCCAGTCAAGGAATGGGGACCAAAGGAGGTGTTGGCTTTGGGGATGACCAGTGAGATATACCTGCTGGAACGCATACTACGGGTGGGTGTTGCTATGGTGACCAATGAGCTAAGATAAGGCGGGGATTTGCCTAGAAGGGATTTATAGATGACCTGGAGCCAGTGGGTTTGGCGACGAATATGTATTGAGAGCATACAGGTCACAATGGTGGGTAGTATATGGGGCTTTGGTGACAAAACGGATGGCACTGTGATCGGCTACATCCAGTTTGCTGAGAATGGTGTTGGAAGCTATTTTGTAAATGACATCGCCGAAGTCAAGGATCGGTAGGATAGTCAGTTTTACGAGGGCATGTTTAGCAGCATGAGTGAAGGAGGCTTTGTTGCGAAATAGGAAGCCGATTCTAGATTTAACTTTGGATTGGAGATGCTTAATGTGAGTCTGGAAGGAGAGTTTACAGTCTAACCAGACACCTAGGTATTTGTAGTTGTCAACATATTCTAAGTCAGACCCGCCGAGAGTAGTGATTCTAGTCGGTCAGGAGGGTGCAAGCAGCGTTCGATTGAAGAGCATGCATTTAGTTTTACGAGCAGTTGGAGGCCACGGAAGGAGTGTTGTATGGCATTGAAGCTCGTTTGGTTGTTAACACAGTGTCCAATGAAGGGCCAGATGTATACAAAATGGTGTCGTCTGCGTAGAGGTGGATCTGAGAGTCACCAGCAGCAAGAGCGACATCATTGATATACACAGAGAATAGAGTCGGCACGAGAATTGAACCCTGTGGCACCCCCATAGAGACTGCCATAGGTCCAGACAACAGGCCCTCCGATTTGACACATTGAACTCTATCTGAGAAGTAGTTGGTGAACACGGCGAGGCAGTCATTAGAGAAACCAAGGCTATTTAGTCTGCCAATAAGAATGCGGTGATTGACAGAGTCAAAAGCCCTGGCCAAGTCGATGAAGACGGCTGCACAGTACTGTCTTTTATCGATCGCGGTTATTATATCGTTTAGGACCTTGAGCGTAGCTGAGGTATACCCATGACCAGCTCGGAAACCAGATTGCATAGCGTAGAAGGTACGGTGGGATTCTAAATGGTCGGTGATCTGTTTGTTAACTTGGCTTTCAAATACTTTCGAAAGGCATAACCATCACCATGAAAAAGCATAATCCTTGCCTACCCCAGTCACAGTTATTCAAGTCTTAATGTGAACAATGGGTCTGGTCGCCTCTCTTGGCAAGGGCATCAAAGTCTGGTGTGATCTTTGATGTAGAGATTCTCAGAACAGCTGACAAGTGGTCATTTGTTAAATTTGACCTGTGACGGGATTTATTGTAATTCATGACTGAGAACGTTTGTTCACACACATATGTGGACCCGAATAAAACAAGCATCCTTTGGGCGTGCTTTTTAATGTTTGGAAACTTTGTTTCATTCAGTGAGCCATAGAACTGGTCTATTGTTGCTGTTTTGTACTTCTCCTTCAAAGCACTGTCACATTGGATGTCAATGAGCTCCAATTGTGTGTCTGGTGGTGCTTTCTCACTGTCGAAAGAGAACAACATAAGTTTGGCCTTGAATGCTTTCACGTTGGAATACAGTTCATGCACAAAAAATGTCCCTGCAGTTTCACATTTAGATCGTTCAGATGCCCCAATATGTCCTCACCGAAAGCAAAGTCGCCCAGCCAGTCTGTGTCTTTCAACACGGAGAAGTCGTCAGCTTTACCAACCGTATCAAGGAACACACAGCAAAATACTTTTCCCAGGCTTAGCCAGCGCACATTTGAATGGTACATCAAGTCCTGGTTCTCTGCCTCTGTGTCATTGAGCAGCTGAATGAACTGACGATGGTTAAGCCCCCTTGCCCGTATAAAGTTGAAGTTTTACATGCACTTTGACAACATTTTCCAGCTTTAACACACTTTTACACAGGGCTTCCTGATGAATAATACAGTGTAGAAATATCAATTCCTCCGAGTTAGGGCTTTCTTCTTTTACTTTGCTTGGAAAATGACGATTGAGATTATATTCCTTAAAAACGGCAACACTTTCTTGGCATATCAGTCATACCGCTTTATGTCCAATATTAGTAAGAAAGTATTTTGCTGTCCATTCTTCTTTAAACACACGACATTCAGAGTCCACTTTTCTCATTTTCACAGCACTCATTTTTCACGGCAAAAGTCATCAAGCAATGAAGTGGCTATGATGACTGAGCGCATTCTGAATCTGACTGTAGGCCCAAATACAGAGCGCGCTGCCAGCGGCATCTATTGGAGGTTGTTTGTATATCATGGAATGAATAATTTTAGGCCAAAAATCGTAACTCAAATATAATATTTAATACATAAAAATTTTTTCTTGTGGGCTGGATTGAAGTGCCCGGTGGGCTTACTTTGGTCCCTTGATACCAATTTAGCAACATTTGCGCGCCACAACTTCTAGAATCCATGCCCTGAAGAATTCAGGCTGTTCTGGAGGTAAAGGGGGGTCCGACCCAGTACTAGATGGGTATACCTAATAAAATTGTATGTAGCAATGTCACATGGATGATTATTTAATTCAGACAAAGCCTTTTGATTGTTAAAATACGTTTTTGTTTTTTATAAAAAATGAATACTTAAGCAAGTAATCGAATACTAACGTCCGTTCGGATAATCGATTAACTGTGCCCACCCCTAAATGGTATACTCTCTTATTATCATCAGTGTATATATATATTTTCATGCACCATTCTCTTCTCATAGCAAACAACAGCAAGTTCCTGTCTGACTTTGGGATTCGAAATGGCAGCCGCCTGCAAGTGGATGACTTTCTGCAGGATTACACACTCCTGGTTAACGTGATTCACTGGTAAGATGGGATGTATTTCTCTGTGTGCTGTATAGGCCTTTGTATTCACATGACTAATGTACATTTGTTTCCTTAATGTAACTGTATTTCTGCTGTTGTCTGAAAAAGTGAAGACTTGGCGAAGGATGTGGAGTTTGAGGTGGTGGGTGACGCCCCTGACAAAGCTCCAACCCCACCCAGTGCACAAGCAGAGGGCAAGAACGTCGCCAATGGCAACACAGACTCTGCAGAACCGTCCACCTCTTCCAAAGGTGAGCAAAACCGACATTGTCTACAGAAATTGACTATTTTAGACATCTGATCATTCAAATCCTGGTCATAAGTAATCTGTCCTGTCCTTAAACCATTTGTTTATAGTGCTGAGAATCATGAGGCAATGTTTGTTCTGTAGCTGAATGTAAACTCTCTAAAGTGGTACAGGTAAATATTGTCTCTTGCTTTCCTTTCACGTCCTAGTCCCTGCTGAACAGAATGATGTTCTGATAGTTGATTCAGACGAGGAGGAGCCTTCCTCTAGCGCTATGGATGTCAGCATGGAGTCAGGAGGCCACAAGAGGAAGCTCCATGATGCTGAGACAGGCGAGGCCTCAGCTAAGCGCCAATGCCTGGGCCAACCCTCGGCTGATGATGACATCATTGCACTAGACTAGTATGTCTCTCCTGATTCCCCCCCCCCCCCCCCCCCCCCCCCCCCCCTTTAGAAGAAGGAAACGGTTTTGTTTTCATACGCCGTTCCTCTTACCAAACATTTGTAAATATAAATGTACAAAACTGTTACGTTTGCCAGTTATTTCTTTTGGTCAACAGAGTACTGTGATAAAATCTTTGTAATGTAAAAAAAATATATATATGTGTGTGTATTTGTTTCGTCTCAAGTCGGGGTGTGTTTTTTTGGGAGACTGAAATAAACATTTTAAAGGTGCTACACCTAGAACTCCTCCCCTATGTGGAAGCTAGGAGAATTGCAACAGCACTAGGCTGCATTCAAAACAAATCCCCCCCCTCCCCTGCATCCCATTTCCCGTAACATGGCTTGAGCCTTTTACTTTCGGTTTTGGTCCACCAGCTTCAAATAGCTGTAAAATACATATTTTTTGTTATTGAAAATATATTTCAGAGATTTAGCTGGAATCTACTCTATTCAGTGCTTGTTTTCTCACATAAACTGAAATTGAGCGAACAGTGTAGGATTCTTGCAACCAGGAAATGAATGAGTGATTTCTACATAGGCCACTTGACCAGATTTCCACTAGATAACTCAGCCACAAAGTCAAAATACCTTTCCCATTTTGACAACGGATGCCGCTCTGGCGTGAGAAATCAATAGGTGAATATCACAGCCAATCACAACACTGGTAAGTAATACTGTGAAACACTCATTCCACTGTTACTGCATATATATTATGGACATTTTCTGAAACTACAATGCAAATGTAAAAATCCTGTGTAGAACCTTTAATACCAATTTATTTATTTTTATATCTACCAATAGGTGATTTTTTTGGGGGAAAACCTCCCTGGTCTTTGTGGTTGAATCTGTTTTGAAATTCACTGCTCGACTGAGGGACCTTAAAATTATCTGTATGTGTGGGGTACAGAGATGATGTAGTCAATCAAAAATCATGTTAAACATTTATTGCTCACAGTGTCCGTGCAACTTATTATGTGACTTGTTAAGCAACATTTTACTCCTGAACTTATTTAGACTTGCCATAACAAAGGGGTTGAATACTTATTGACTAACATTTCAGCTTTTCCTTTTTAATTAATTTGGGAAAATTTGGAAAATACATAATTCCACTTTGTGTAGGCCAGTGACGACAAATCTGTTTAATCAATTTTAAATTCAGTGGGACAAAATGTGGAAAAGGTCGGGGGGTGTGAATACTTTCTGAAGGGACTGTATATGTTTGGAACATCAGTATTGTGAAGCCCTTTCATTGCTTGGTTTTGGTTTGACAATAAGTGATGTCTTGTTTTTGCCACAGTTGTCTTCTAAAGGGTTCAGATGGAGAAAATACCTAATTATATAGCAATTACAACACAGGGGAACAGAAATGTGGATACGTTTTACTTTTACAGCCATGTTTGCCAGAACAGCAAGAATGTTTCATAGTGTCCTTCTCACCTTGAGACAGTGTTTTGAGTCCAAAAGAGTAATCTCAGCCCTGTCAGTGAAGCTCCTAAATTGAGTACAAAATTGCAGCCATAAGCCAGTTTACGATAATGCAATTCCTATGGCGCTTTAGCTAAACATGTTCTCAATCAAGTACTAGTACAATGTTTGCATAACATTTGCAAGACTTCTATGTTAGTTAAAATAGCCTCATCCAATTATTTACATTAAATCAGAAAATAACACTTTGGCTGTTTGTAAAGATGCATTTGTGTGTTCAACCACAATTGGAAACTACACATGACGTGCATTTTTATTATAGACACAAAGAACTTCACATTTTACCATATTTGCTGCATGTATTGTAGAGCATAAGCCTGTAAGATGTATTGTGCTGTGGCCTCCTGTTGCTCAGTTGGTAGAGTATGGCGCTTGCAACGCCAGGGTTGTGGGTTCGATTCCCACGGGGGGCCAGTATGAAAAATGTATGCACTCACTAACTAAGTCGCTCTGGATAAGAGCGTCTGCTAAATGACTAAAATGTAAATGTAAATATGCTTTGCAAGTCCCGTCTAATTTCTGGATCATGCCCAATACTGTTTTCTAATGGGATTCAAGATTTATATAATCAAATTAATGAAAATGCGGTCATTTAAAGCAGCACTCAGCAGTTAAAACAATAACAAAGCGTATCCCAGACCCTATTTCGGTAAAAAAGTTAAGGGATGAGGCTGGAGAAATGTAACCACTCAAATTCATAGACAGAGCTATGGATGCACAGACTGATATTTAAATGTAAAAACGTTTTGATCACATTGGAGCTATATAGTATTTGCTTTGTTTACAAACATTAGCTTATATGTTGGGTTCTGATGAGGTACAGTGAGGGGAAAAAAGTATTTGATCCCCTGCTGATTTTGTACGTTTGCCCACTGACAAAGAAATGATCAGTCTATAATTTTAATGGTAGGTTTATTTGAACAGTGAGAGACATAATAACACAAAAATCCAGAAAAACACATGTAAAAATGTTATAAATTGATTTGCATTTTAATGAGGGAAATAAGTATTTGACCCCCTCTCAATCAGAAAGATTTCTGGCTCCCAGGTGTCTTTTATACAGGTAACGAGCTGAGATTAGGAGCACACTCTTAAAGGGAGTGCTCCTAATCTCAGTTTGTTACCTGTATAAAAGACACCTGTCCACAGAAGCAATCAATCAATCAGATTCCAAACTCTCCACCATGGCCAAGACCAAAGAGCTCTCCAAGGACGTCGGGGACAAGATTGTAGACCTACACAAGGCTGGAATGGGCTACAAGACCATCGCCAAGCAGCTTGGTGAGAAGGTGACAACAGTTGGTGCGATTATTTGCAAATGGAAGAAACACAAAATAACTGTCAATCTCCCTCGGCCTGGGGCTCCATGCAAGATCTCACCTCGTGGAGTTGCAATGATCATGAGAACGATGAGGAATCAGCCCAGAACTACACGGGAGGATCTTGTCAATGATCTCAAGGCAGCTGGGACCATAGTCACCAAGAAAACAATTGGTAACACACTACGCCATGAAGGACTGAAATCCTGCAGCGCCCGCAAGGTCCCCCTGCTCAAGAAAGCACATATACAGGCCCGTCTGAAGTTTGCCAATGAACATCTGAATGATTCAGAGGAGAACTGGGTGAAAGTGTTGTGGTCAGATGAGACCAAAATCGAGCTCTTTGGCATCAACTCAACTCGCCGTGTTTGGAGGAGGAAGAATGCTGCCTATGACCCCAAGAACACCATCCCCACCGTCAAACATGGAGGTGGAAACATTATGCTTTGGGGGTGTTTTTCTGCTAAGGGGACAGGACAACTTCACCGCATCAAAGGGACGATGGACGGGGCCATGTACCGTCAAATCTTGGGTGAGAACCTCCTTCCCTCAGCCAGGGCATTGAAAATGGGTCGTGGATGGGTATTCCATCATGACAATGACCCAAAACACATGGCCAAGGCAACAACGGAGTGGCCTAGCCAGTCTCCAGACCTTAATCCCATAGAAAATCTGTGGAGGGAGCTGAAGGTTCGAGTTGCCAAACGTCAGCCTCGAAACCTTAATGACTTGGAGAAGATCTGCAAAGAGGAGTGGGACAAAATCCCTCCTGAGATGTGTGCAAACCTGGTGGCCAACTACAAGAAACGTCTGACCTCTGTGATTGCCAACAAGGGTTTTTCCACCAAGTATTAAAAAGTCATGTTTTGCAGAGGGGTCAAATACTTATTTCCCTCATTAAAATGCAAATCAATTTTTTTGTTTGTTATTCTGTCTCTCACTTTTCAAATAAACCTACCATTGAAATTATAGACTGATCATGTCTTTGTCAGTGGGCAACCATACAAAATCAGCAGGGGATCAAATACTTTTTTCCCTCCCTGTATGACAGTTGAACTAAGCTCACGAGGCATTTGTTATATTCTTCAATAATCAATGGGTACATATTCATTTATAAGTCCAAAAATTAATGTGGCAACTGGAGATTGCCCCTTTTAAGATAAATGTACAATTATATTCGTATTAGTGGATTAATTTACTTATACCCAATGCCTTTTTATAAAGGTTTTCGATTAGAAAAAGAAAACGCAATCGAAAACATTCATCAGGTAGAAGTAAATTAATCCACAAATATAATTTTACATATATTAAATTAGCTAATTTTAATGAATTTGATGATATAATCTTGAATTCCATTCAAAAACAGTATGGGACATGATCCAGGAAGTAGGCTGGACTTTCATTGCGTATTATGACATCATGTGATTTTAAAAAAAAAACACACCTTTCAGAAAAGTACAGCAAAGAAAACAAGACCGAGAGGAAGAGGCGAAGTGAGAGGGTTGTCTTCGCCCGAACTGTCCGCACAGATTAAGCAGACTTGGTCTGCTTAAAGGGCGACTACACTTCCTGATTGGCCTCATTTTAGATTTGGTTCATTAAGAAATGCTAGCGGCCATGACTGAATTCAAACGTGAGTTGGTTTCAGGGTGTGGTTTGAAGTGGGTGTCTCGTGTGTATTCGCAGGTGGGAATGGTTTGCCAAATTATTTCGCCAATTGGCTTCAGAAGGCTGGTGTGCAGACAGTGGCAAAGTTGGTTTGAATTTGGATAGCCTATCTTCGGGGCTAGTTGGGGACCGGACAATAAATGACACAATGTAAATTAGACAATATTTTCATGTTGCACAACTTTTGGTTCTCATTAAATGCTTTCAATATTTTTTATTTGAATTTCTACAATTTATAGTTGGTTTGAGGTTTTTAAGTCATTGAAATTTGGAGCTATTGGAATTTTAACAAATTGTCATGTACATTGTGTAATTTACTGATTGTCCCTAACTAGCCCCATAGGGATATCCAAAGTCAACCCAAATTTACCACAGGCATCACAATCAGGTGGCACGGAGCTGTATGCTGAATTGATGAAAACGTGTGTGCTGCCAGCTGTGGGCAGGATTGAAACAAACCTTCATTTATGTTGTGATGCAGTCATGA